CGATATGAAGAATAAAATACTTTGATGTTTCAAAGCGTGATGGAACTTGATGACTTATTGGTAAGGTCTGACTAACAGCGGGTGAGATAGCGGATTGATAGACTGAGAGTTTTATGTAAAAAATTGATTATTCTTAATCAATGTGTAGAAAATGTATTTCAAATAATTTATAACTTTTGGACTAAGACTTGGTTGGCGTGAAATTAAAAAAAAATCCTGTGTCAAATAACGCCTATGTTATTCATTGATGGTGTAGTTTTCTAATATAAATATTTTTTATATCCGGCTCGATAGTTTTGACTTTATTAATCACAAAAAAAATAAAAATTTTACTCCTGATAATATTAATATAGATTTTATTTCCATCGTCATAGAATAGAGGTATTAACTTTTAAAAACCTAATAGATACATGTGTGATTTAATTTAAGCATTTATATATATATTTTAATATGTCTAGTTGTCTTAACTATCGTATATTTTAATGTTTCTTGCTCCATATTCTTGCAGCATCAAAATTAAAAATATAAACACTTTCCGCTAACAGTGGGGACCTACAATACAAAGTTCGAACTGGGTTACAGAACAAAGAGGTGTTTATGAATTCCGCACCACTAGGAAAGTAACAAAATACTTCTGACCCAAACTTTTCGGAACAATAGTCTTTATCTCCTTCCACTGAACTACGAATTTGATAAGTCGTGAGAAACGCAAACAGCTCGCGAGGCCTCGGACAGGGCTGCCATTGTTACATTATCTATCGACTATACATCACTATATGCACGATAGGGTTGTACATGACAATTTAAATACAAAATCAATCGGATTAAATCTAGATATAAAAGATAAATCATAATGAATTGGATAACAAATTTTAACCATACCCAGAGTCTTTTAATAGTCACAAATAATATTAAAACGAATCTATACATATAATAAAATTGGAGTGCCTGTTTATAATATCAAAAACAATCCAGATGTTAGAAAGATGATGTATTTGCGTTGCTGATAACGAAAATCGCATTTAATTTTTTTTTGTCTGTCTGTCCGCAAGCCGCGTTTGTTCCGGGTACGAGTAATCTCCGAAACGGCTGGGCTAATTTCGACCGGACTTTCACTGAAGGGTAGCTGACATAGACGGGCATATTATAGGCTACTTTTTATCTTGATATTGCGTGGACGATGTCGCGGGCAACAGCTAGTCTTAAATGCTTCGTGAATGCCGCTTACAATTTGATAGACGTCAATTTGTAAGGAATTTGAAGTTTTAATTCTTATGTTGATGATATTTAAATCATGTCTTAGTATTCAGCACTAAGTTAAAGAAATCTACATTTAAGGGATTGCTTAGGACCACCTAAACGTCTTTGTGTTAGTTTTAAGATATAAGTTTTATTGTTAATTAAGTTACATAAAGTTTATTTTTTATTATTGCATAAACAGTTTTAATGCATTGTACTTTTTCTCTAAACATAACAATTTATTAACACTTACGGAATTAGTTTATTTATGTGCATTTTTAAATATCGATAGTTGTAAGTCACATCCCTAGTTGCGAGCGAAAACTTTATGAATACTCATATAAATAGTGATTGCGTGGGACCAATCAAATGGGTCGATTGATAACTTTGTTATGTCTGCTCATCGTTTATTGTCTGATAGATTCTTTAATAGTCCGACCTTCAAACTTCCTTGTTGAACTAGTGTTTCTCCCCGTCTTCGCACGGGACTAAAGCTGTTATAAATATGTTTATTTCCATAACATTAATTAAAATTATATCTATTGATCAGTTATATGTACATGTACTAACTGTTGCTCGCGACTTCGTCCGCGTGTAATTTAAAAATAATTGATAGCCTATAAATAAATAATATATAGCCTATGTTACTCATAGATAAATTACCTTTCTAATGGTGAAAGAATTTTTAAAATCGGCCTAGTAGTATTTGAAGTTTTTCAATACATACATAAATACAAATCTTTCCTCTTTATAATAGGTAGATTAACATTTTGGGTAATCAACAAGCCGTAGTATTATTAGGGTGAAAATAACTTAAATAGAAAACTCTGTAACTTAGATGATAAAGTATTAATTATGCCCAACACTAAACTTGAATTAAACGAGCGAATTGAAAGCGTCCCTGAATAACAGGTGCGGTACATTGTAAAAGCCCAGAGCGGCGTGTAATAACGTTTTTTTCACACAATCGTGAGCTGAAAATATAAACCGACAAAGGTCAGGCGTCGGGCTACATAATTTATCCCTCACTCCCCCAATAAATACTTATTTTTGCAATAACATTTATCCAATTTTCCTCAGGATATAAATTTGTTCATTATGTAATAAATAAATATGAAATATCACGTTGTCCTTCCTAGATTTATTCATTTTTCGTAAATATGTATGAAAATGATGTTTTCATTGATTAAATATAAACTGTTGCTCGCGACTTCGTCCGCGTAAAATTACTAAATCATAAAAAATAGCCTATGTTACTAATAACGCTCTTTAATTGTGGAAAAATTTTTGAAATCGACTTAATAGTTTTTAAATTATTTTAATACATACAAATATACAAATCTTTCCTCTTTCTAATATTAGTACAGATGTAATGTTGTTGATATCACGTCATTTCAATACTATAGAATGATCATCTCTGAATCGCCACTCAGGAGTTTAGAGCCTTTTTTTCCGAAGGGGAATGCGTTACGCATACTCCATGCCTCGGGGCAGACACGCGAGTTATGTGGGACTCTCCCCCCATAGTGGGGGGCATACCTCACTAAACCCCTTCGTTCCCTCCTAGCCATTGTGTGGGACGCCACGGATCGCTTGCGCTTGCCACCGCCACTGCCACAGACGAGTTTAGAGCCTACCCTAAGTCAGGGGTCAGGCTGATGATAAACGAGAGTGTTCTGCATGAATTGAATGAATGAATGAATATGTATTTATTGTCAAAAAGAAATAACATAAAAGGACTTATTCTAAAGAAAACATACAATCGTGGCAAAGGTAGCCAGCTCAGCGTATGCAGAAAGAACTGAGCCGTTCCCGTGCTGTTTTTCAGCCGGCTCCTTCGCACTTAACTAACATATACCTACATTATTAGGATTAATTGGTGGTCTACTCTACTAAATTTTTGTTATTCACTCTTAATTACTAAATTACTTGCTACTCGACTAAATTACTAGCCAGTTGCCAACTAGATATTATTATGATATAATATTTAAACGTAATTAAGGAACAAGTAACTTAAATGGATCCGAACTACCCTCTAATTAATACCTCGTTCCCACTTTGTATTGACACACTAGCACGGATAACCTCGTCTATGATTCATAGAGTACAAAGTAGTGTATTCCCAAGTCTGTCGGCTTATATTACACTTTGAGAGAACTTTAATAAGAAGATTGCTTTATGTGGGTACACATTTCAAGTCGCGTCAAAGTGAAATGCAACTTAATTATGCATTAACAACTTAAATAGCGCTTTTAGTATTAATAAAGCGATTTTTTACTGTTTTCATTAATTAAATTTACTTACTAATAACAAACTTGAATCCGACTCTATCATTTCCTCAAAGGTCGGCAACGCATCTGTAGTTCCTTTGGTGTTGCGGATGTCCAAGGCCATCGTTGACCAACTCGGTGTTTCCGCCGCTCGTTTGTCCTCTTTTATTATAAAAAAAATACTTCGTTCCAATAATAAAGTTTGTATACTTACTTTAAAATACAAATAAAACACTTTTTTCCTTCGGAAATCAGAGCATTCTCTTAGATTCCACTTAAATCCTTTGTAGACATAACGTCTCGTAATCGGTGTTATTTATCAAAAAAAATATATCTAACAGGTTGTTGACTGTCACGTTATATAAATATAATCTTGCGTAACTAAAATATAAAAGCATTGCCTGATCTCGTTCGGATGTCGTAAAACCATCTTGCGTCGGAATGTAGACGGTATAACTAATTATGCACATATTTATGTAATTTACTGAACGCTAATGGTATAAGAGTGTCTTGAATATGCGTTAATATCACGCGGAGGCGTAGCTATATTATACTAAAGATATAATTGAGGTCTGCAGACGATAATAAGCTAAAAGCGTTTCGTTATCTATGTGTATCATTTAGTGAACGCCTGTGGTAAATGCTACTTAACGTAATAAGAATATTGTTGAGATATATTTTTATCAACTAGTCTATCGGGTATCATCATGCATTATTTATGGTTGATTTTTTTATCTGTACGTCTTGTATCTCAGATGACAGACTTTTTAGTCGTATAGTTTGATCGGGTTGGCCTCAAGTCAAAATCACGTTAAACCAAATCGACGTACTGTGTGCACTGTTCTCCATACATGTTCATACTGATTGAGTGCCCGAATAAAATAGGTCGATAAAGTAGTCTGCTAGACCTCTACACGTTAGCTAGTATTATGTTAACATAATATAATAAATAGTGGGATGTCTCAAATGCAAGAATTGTTCAGTCAATGTCTTTGCAAATTCGATTTGTTCTTTCATAAAAAAGCTACTTCAGACTTCGTATTCTGTTTAACAGAAAACAAGTAATTTTCTGTGACAATACTTAAGATTAATAGAAAGATTTGTTCCTCCGTATTAAAGAATTAAGGATTCTTTTTCTAAATCCAAACAAAGACTACGTTGATCCTCTGGATTAAAGTCTTCGCCGTGAGAATTTCACGTCTAGAGTTATAGGTTAGTAGGTTTTAGTTAAAATAAACGAATAAAGATACGAAGATTTAAAGTATTAAAGTCAATTTTACTTCCTTTAACAATTGCTATGTGAAACTGAGACACAACGTTTGTCATGTTTTGAATGGTAAAAAATAGTCCTAACTAAATGTTTTAAATCCTTGACTTGCCTTATGTAACTGAATCATAACTAAATCATTTTTACCTACACTAATGTATAGATATAAAAAATTAAAATTTTTTTTAGATGCACATTTTAATAGCATTTGTTTATTGTTACAGCGGACCCGCTTCCCGGCAAGCACGTGCCGCTGGAGAGCTATGAGAGCGAATTGGAGCGGGAGCACGCGCTGCCCACGTCCGTCCCCAATGCCGACATACTCAAGACTAACAGCAACCCCACCTATCACAAGCCGAGGTAAGCTCGCATAGAAATTTATTGACAGCGCCATCTTTCGATTTTTTATGTAATTCATCAATTTATGGTTTCGCTGGCATTGTATTTAGAAGCTGTAAAAACCATTTGACGTCATAATGATGCCAGAAGTGAAGTAATTTATTCCACTCTGTCATACTAACGAACGTTCCGTTACCGCTCTTCGAAATTAATTTTTACTAATTACAAGAGGCCGTTAAGGCAACTCCCAAACAAAACCCTAAAACAACACGGAGAATCTCTGAGCGCAGCTTAATTCCGGGCATAAATTAAATCATTATCGTAAACTCGAGTTAGGAGACTCCTTAAAGTTAAATGCCGTTTGCGCGCCGCGTAAAACTTTGATCCCTTCCGCGCAATTAAATACGTCCCGCCATAAAAGTCGACGCACCAACCCGTTCGGATATCGCACGGACAAATAAAAAAGTTTGACCACGGTTTAGTTTCTTGACACTAACTTTGACCTGATTTCAAACTATCATTTAATTATATTTTATTTCTTTTAGACTAAAATATCTCTTCATAAAAAGCAAAGGGAAGCTTGGGTTTTGAATTTAAATATGTTATTCTTGTTGACATTTTTAACCTAAGAAATAAGCAAGACGAGACGTCTATTAAATTTACGCCCACGAATTCGAAGACCGAAGTATTTTTTCCATTTTCCACAACCTTAGTTCTATTATTCCCACAAAAGGTATTATGCTAGTGTCTGATATTGTCTAGAAACTTCTTTCATCTAATTGTAAATTAACAAACAAATTTACGACGCTAGTATAAAACTGTTCGCCTTTGCTTCTTCCTGCCTTTGATGCTAACAATTTTTTAACATTTAACAGATTTTAAAATCTTTCAACTTAACTTATTAAAACTTTCGTGAGACATTATACTATATTATTTATTTATAATAGGTCGGTGCCTACACCGAAAGTTCCCACATGGGTTTTAGCCGTGTTATAAATAAATAATATCTTTCAACTTATCTGAAACGTTAAAATTAACTATTGTTATTTAGTCAATGATAAATAAGTTATTTTTAGAAAATATTCTGCGAATTTATAAACTAGTGAGGTTAAATATCGGTTTGACGTCAAAACCGATTATACTTTCATTGTGATGAATCGATTATGTTTTTTCCGTTTTAGTAATAAAAACGTGTCAGATAAACAAGGAGGAATAGTGAATTATTTTCTCAAGGACAGTCTCAGTCTTGATGTGAAAAAAACAGGCAATTGTCTATTCGACGGCCTATATTCCGCTTATTCATTATGTAAGCTCTGATTTGAATAAAAACAAAGTTGTCGTTGCGATTGTTGAAGGGAGTTTGCGATCTTTGATAATAAAGATACGGACTAGGCAAAGCATGTATTGTAAATTTTTCCACTTAGTCGGTAAAGATGCTACGTCTTTATAATAAGATACCAACTATAAATGTAAACACATAAGCAAGCAGTTTAAAAATTTATTATTTGTTTTTATTTCATAGAGGGAAATATGTGTGATGGACAGGTCCTGTCTTTTAAAGGTTAAAGTGTGCGATGGCCGGCGGACGCCGATGCTGTTTATCGTCGAATTCAATTTGTGACGCCGAGAATTTTGTCAGATTTGCATTTTTTTTCCGAACAATGTTTGAATTGTTTTAACGATTGGGAATTCAGCCAGTATTATGTAAAGACATTAGCGTCCATTATCTTTTTTTCGTCCTGGTTTTAGTAAAAAGGTTTTTATTGACGTTCTAACTTTTGTTTAATCTAATAAAGCGATTTGTCATGTCACTTTTATTTATTCTTGTATTATTATTAAGTCTAATAATAAAAAGACTGTTAGGTATATATGATAAATCTAAATATTGTTCAAATCAAAAGTTTTATAAATAAGTATAATTTTCTAATGAGTAAGCTTTTTTTTTATTTTATGGTAGACAAGTAAATGGGTATATGAAAAGAAAAACAAAAAAAAATACAAAAAGATACTCTCACGCCAGACACAAATCGCTTCCTTTTTTCCCAACAGTGTTTGCTTTTATAGGAGACATGTCTAGGCTTTTTTTTTCATAAGTCTCGTCAGTGCCCTTGCTTCAAGCGCCATTTTGAAGCTCCATCGTTCACGTGCGAACGCCTCGGGCACGGAAAGTTGCTCATTAGGTCCTTTACGAGTGCATCCTTTGACAATGCGATGTTACGCTTAAATAATTACAGGTCCTGTCTGTGCTTTATGTAACTCTTCAACTATGGAACACTTTTCGCATTCGAATATTTTATGAAATACTTCGAAAAAACGCGACTCGAGTGTTTTTTGTTTTCTGTCTGTTTAAATATGCGTCTATGACCGTCTGAGAGTGTTACAATGAACATTTGGGATTATATTTTCAAATTCTATGTACGAATGTTACAATTTTGTATGTATTATCTTCAGAGGAATTAAAAGTAAATACATGTAGATTAGTTATGAAAATATTGATACTACCAATGGTGTCGCCTTTGTGGCATCTTAAAAGCGTAATACTTAACACTTCCTAGTAAACCATGCAACCGATAACTCTAAATTTGAGTACCTAGCACGAAAAATTTGCAAGAAAGTATTCGTAACTTCATCGATAAAATTCGTTTGAGGCTTTTTGTAGGATATTTTGTCGATATCGTCACGAATGTCTACTGGAAAAATTTCGTGCTATACCTCCTGATATTTAAACAAACGTTCGACTCTATTAGAAATTCAAACAAAGAACAGAAATCATCTATCGAGTGGTAATCGATTCAATTAAAACAGTTGTTACGTAGTTCGCACGGATCGGTGCAAGCAAGCTCACAAACATTTGCATAATCATTGGCTCAACTACGATTCGATACATCGATAGTTTTAGTGTCGGTGAAACGAGAATCGATTCGCCTTTGAGATAAGTTTGCTTTTGATTTTGAGGTAATTTCGATTGTAACTTGAGAACTAACATTTGCGTAGCATATAATTGAAGCTCCAGTGAAATCAAGGATTGATTCTAAAATTAAACATAGTCAGTACTTTGTTCCTAAAATCACTTTAATTAGAGCTTGTCCCACCACTGGCTGATAGTGGCTCAGATAGCTTAAAAATGACGTAAATGTAATGGGAACCAAATCTGATATTTCCATCATAAATTTTACAACTTTGATTGTTATCAGACAATTTACAATTTGGTGGGACAGGCCCTTATTTTCAAAATTGTTAACAAAAGGTTATAGAGGTAGTATTAACTCTGTTATCGTATTATAATTTAATATGAAAACATACCACGTCTAGGTCTGCATAGACGGATAACAAATCACACGAGATCTCTGGCAAATATAAGAGAATTTATACCGAAGTTCAATGCGGTATTTTTGTCAAAAATTGGAACCTTTTTTTATAAGAGAAAATAATCAACCTTTTTACCGATTTTTTTTGGTTACGGCGTTATTTTATGAAGCAAATAGTCAAACATCATTAATCGTGTTGAGACTTTTTTAATTTCAACACATAATAGACGTTAAGGCTTTAAGGCTAAATGTCATATTAGTAGACTAAACTTGTAAAAAATACTAGCTACTTACATCCAAAACATATAGTTCCTAACATGGATAATAAAGCATGCCATATATCACCTTTTTTTCAATATAAAATAGACTAAAGTGATCACTCTTTATTAACCCTTCACTGGTTCAGAATGGGGTCGTTCACCCTATCATAAATATTCACAGCATGACGACAGCACAACCCTTAAACACGATAAATTGCCACTGGAGTTGCCAATTCTGGAATTATTGTAGCGAAAGCCGCTCGATTGATTTCTATGTTCCTAGTCCGCGTGAAGGCGAAATCCCGAGCTATGATGCTATAAATCTCTTCGCAAATTCAGATTATGCCAAACATTTCAAGTTTGCAGAAGCTTCAAGTTGTAGAATCGTTCTGTTGGACTTGATACATTATTTATCTAACTTCACGCTTGCCTTTTGTTTATCGGCTTTCACTTCTATTTTAGTCTATGCTTTGAGATGTTTTGGTTAGTTTCGTTATAATTTTTAATCGATCAAAAATGATTTATCCTTCATTTTTTTGCCGTTGCTTTAGTTATTGCGTAAAAGGTCGTTAGTCATTTTATTAGTCTTTGTAAGAAACAAAACTAGTATCTACCATCTCTCTGTCTCTGTCTTCTGTGCTGTTTGTAAATTCCCTTGACACTGCTAGAATAGTGCGGTTATTTACTGAATCGGATCAAATCTTTGAGCTCTCTAACAGTCGACTTGTCACGCCTGTTCCGTCGCTTGAACGTTTGACGTGACCGATATCTGTGTACCCGAATTGCTTTCAATTTCTGTCCGTCAATTTCTAGTTGTTGAAATATGCCTGTATGTGTCAAGGAATTTGGAGAACAGGGCTTCAATTTTCAGTCTCCTAAATTGAGAGGTTTACAGGTGTAGTCTTGCAAATATTATAAATGCGAAAGTTTATATAGATGGGTGTTAGAGTTTGTAACCTAAACGACTGAAAGGATTTGGATGAAATTTGGTATAGCTGTAGGGGGTAGTGTAGAAGAACACATTAGCTACTCACTTTTGTTTTTTTTTAACGCGCTTGGAATTGCGGGCGAAAGATAGTTTCATATCAAAAATAGTAGAGAATGTAACTTAACACCGCAAGCTTTCATTAGTGTAAAATACCTATCATTGCTTCTCTACAATAATTTTAGAATCTTTGTATATTTGCGGTGGTTACCTCCATATACGAGTATTAAAATAGAATAAGATTTTTGTACGAAGTGTAAAGTCATATATTACAGTCGTATTAGACTCGTAAGCAGATTGGGATTTGGGTGATGCGAGCGTTTTAAAATCCCGACCTAAGCATGATTGAAACATTAATTCGCCTCTGTCAAAACGAACAAATCCGTAATGTGAACTACGACGCAAGTTACAAACAAAACGCGGGTGAAAAGCAATTATAGAAAACTTTATTGTTATATTAATTAGAAG